CACATGCCAGACAGCATACCAGATTCAAGGAAAAAACATACTGAATCCAGGAACACTGCTGTGCCTCACACATCCACCTCATCAGCTCTGGGGACTCCGATTTGTTGTGGAATACTAGTTGAAGATGAGTTACCTTAGCTGATTCAGGGGAATGTTTGTGTAATGATGCAAAGATGTGATTTGTTCTTTTATGCTGCATTTGTTAAACTCTGTAAATCTGTGTTATTTTGCCTGCCTAAAACACCTGATTGGTCTAACAAAGAGCCGAGGCACAAGAGGGATAGACAGGGGTCCCAGGTAGAGAGAATAAATAGAAGAAGAGAAGAGGGAGAAACAAGAGAAAAAGGAGGAGAGGAGGACACCAGGGGCCAGCCACCCAGTCATACAACCAGCCACGAAATAAAAAGGAAAGAAAGGCGTATAGAGTAGAGAAATGTAAGGGCCCAGAGACAAAAGGTAGATGGATAATTTAAGAAAATCTGGCTAGAAATAAGCTAAGGCCGGGCATTTATAAGTAAGAATAAGTCTCTATGTAATCATATGGGAGCTGGGTGGCAGTCCTCTAAGAGTAAAAGAAAAAGAAAAAAGAAAAACCAACTGCACAGTTTCCCCTCTGTAACGTGCAGTTCTCCTCCGCCAGCCCCTTTGGTTTTTCCCCCACCAGCCGCTTGGGTTCAGCCACAGTTGCAGTCCCCAAATAAACACACAGGAGGCTATATTAATTATGAAGCTGTTGGCCGTTTGCTTGTGTCTTACTGGCTAGCTCTGACTTAAGTATTTACCCCATCTAAGTATTTCTGGACTTCCCCATCACCCCTCTTTTACTGCACAACTAAATACTGACTTAATGTCAAACTAGAGAGTTATGGTCTGACTTGGTAGGTGTTCGGTAGGCACTTTTTAGATAAAAATAAGAAATTCTGTCACCTCCAGGGTCCTCTCTTTTGTCTTCTCTGGCCTGTTCTAGTTCTGGACACAGTTAGACTTGAGTTCAGCTGTCCAGGAACCCATCTCTAAACCTCACATGTTTCTAACCCAACACTTAGAAGACTTCATACCATTTCAGTTATAGACCTGCCTGTTCCTAAAACTAAACTATGCATTTGAAGTGTAAATATCATCCCACTTTCTCCCTCCAATCTCCACTTTATGCAGAGTGTGTCTGTAGAAAACATCTAAAATTGTAGGTCTAATTAATGATTGAATTTGGGCTTTCTGAGGGTTTTGTTCTGCTTTTTGGATACAGGGTCTCACTACTCTTGAAGTCTTTGGTTTCAGTGAGCTTCTTGTCACAGTGACCTCAAGTGACTGAGCTCACAGGCATGCCCTGTCATACACCACTTTGAAGTTTCTTGCCAAAAACATCCTTGTGGAATAAAATCTCCTTAGGACTACTGAATTTTTCTATATTAGTTTTATACAGTATGGCATTTTCACAATGCAGGATTTATGATAAAATTCTGTCAAGGGTACAGTTCAAATCCTCAGAGAAGAGGTAGTATGGCTGTTTCAATTATCTGCCTTTTTGTTTTGTTTTTGCTGTTTGTGGTGGGAGTTTTGAGACAGGATCACACTGTTCACAGAATACACTCAAACAATCGGCCTGGCTCATTCTCCTGAATGCTGAGATGACACGTATGTAGCCACACCTGGAAACTATTATATTCTTGACCTAGGGTTCTGAGTTGTTGTTTTTTGTTTCATTAAGCTGTTGGGTATTTTAATTCCCTAATTTATATGTTGTACAAAAGACATGACTAATAATCTAAACTAAGTTATCTCAGCAAGTACAGAGCTCCTTAACACATTGAACCATACATTTGAATTTTAATTGAAAAGTGAAATCAGAAATCAGATAACATCTTTCTAGAAGAAATGTCTAAAAAATGAAATGGTTACTGTTTATGAAGCATACAGAATACAAGTGGACCTGCTAAGCTGCACTTAGAGCATCAGACCATACACATAGTAGGACATTGTGAAGACTTACTTGATGAAAGAAACAAAACAATCAACACTGCTCTCACTTAAAGAAAAAGTAGGTGTTTATTCTCCTGAAGACTCACAAAGACTCATATATCTCAGGCCACCTAGGAGCCATGGTTCCACCGATGGTGTACATAAGCCAGATATCTCCCATAGATGAAAATGCTTTATCGCCAGAGCAAGTTCCTTTGTGTTCCATAAAACCCTCCTACCACATCCACCCAGGACTGCAAACCACAAGACTGATAACTGAGTATAAACTTGATATACTACCCTAATAAACATCTCACCAAGACAGAGAGGTTATAAATTCATTTCAAAAGGAATATTTTTGTTACATAAAACTTGCACAAATTTCAGAGCACCATTCATTATAGTAGTTGTGTCTTCGCTAGAGAATTCCTATGCAACTACATTAGCACACACGCAATCTGAGCATGAGTGTGAGAATGAGTGTGAGACAGTTAATAGTATATGAACTGGACTGCCGACTTCATTTTCTCTTTAGTCTATTGGATATCTGCATTTGAAATACAGACCCTGGAAAGCCCACGCTATTCCCACATTCGCTTTTTGGAAACTACTCATCCTATGTAACAAAAGGAATGGTTAATGATGCTTATCTATCACAGGAATAAATAATTTTACAAGACTGTGTTTTTAAGGCTTCAGAATTACACATTTGACTGTGGGAGCAGAGTCCTGGGGGCAAGACACCTCAGATAACCTCACCCACAGGAATTTCTCAGACAGTGTTTTTCTGTGTGTCAACAGGGGCTAGAACTCAGTGTAAGTCTCTGTTCATACTATTAAAGGGCTGGCTTTCCTTCAGTGCACTCTTAAATTCCTGCACAATGCACAGCCCTCAGCACCCTAAGGAGCCCAAACAAAGGACAGCAGGAAAGTTCACCCACTCCCACATCATAGAACAATGCTCGTTGCTAACTAAGCAATTCCCAGGGCAGATTTATGATGAGTGAGTGTTCAGGTTGGGCCCTTGGAATCCGAGGTCACAAACACGTGGTGCTGCTCGATCCCAAGGCTTTTAGAAAACATGAAAATGTGACTGGAAGTCTGTGCCTGTATGCACTCCAGAGAGTACTTAGTCATTTGGAGAAATTAAAGCACATTAAGGCCCCCAAACAGCTTATTGTTCATGCTCTAAGACTTAACCTTTTCCTTCTCACTTGCTGCTGCCCATTCCCTGCTCTGGTTAATAGAAAAATGTCTACTGAATCAAGAAAAACAAGTCAATTGAATATATACCAGGTCTCCTGATTAGAAAACAACCTGATAGAATGACAAATACAAATTATTTGTTCTCATTTTTTGTTTCTGAGACAAGGTTTCTCTGTGTAGCTCTGTAGACCAGGCTGGCCTCCAACTCACAGAGATCTGCCTGACTCTGCCTCCTAAGTGCTAGGATTAAAGGCATGTGCCACCAATGCCCAGCATGTTTGTTCTTATTTCTAAACAAAATTATGACTCTGGTATTTTCTTGTATTCTTACACCCGGAGTTATTATAACAGGACTGAATTTCTTTTTTTTTTTTTTGGTTTTTACGAGACAGGGTTTCTCTGTATTGTTTCGGAGGTTATCGGTCCAGCCCGGCCTTGAACTCACAGAGATCCGCCTGCCTCTGCCTCCCGAGTGCTGGGATTAAAGGCGTGTGCCACCACCGCCCGGCTGAATTTCTAATCTATGAACTAATTTAATCCACAACATTGTATGAGGGTTGTAAATCCATTGTAAATCTAAGTACTTCAAAAGATAAATGCAAGCCAGGTGTGGTGGTACACACCTTTAATTCCAGTACTGGGGAAGCAGATAGGCAGGCAGATTTCTAAGTTTGAGATCAGTCTGATCCACATAGGGAGTTACAAGACAGTCAGAGGTCACAGTGAGACCCTGTTCCCAAAAAGCCCCCCCAAAATATAGATACACCCAAGTGCAAGAAAAGGGTTCTTTTGTGCTGCCTTTTAGAGAATATTCTGGATAGAGTTATTTCCACAGGCTTATGTGATACTATAATTATGCAATATAACTTTGGAGAACAGTGTCTATCTCTTGTTACCTTGCCTAAGCACAAAAATGAAAAGGGTGACTACTTATATTTTATTATGATTATTACCAAGCTTTTAAAACGATGAAATAATTTAACTTCATCTCTTTTACTCTTTAATGATCATCTATAAAATATTAGAATTGAGTTAGAAAACAAATATATAAACACACTGGGCAATATTTTCATAGCTTTATGGACATTGAGAAATATCTAAATACATAACAATTATTGAAGATTATGGACAGTGAGTCCTGTCTATGTGGAGTCAGACATCTCAGACTAAATGAAATAGCTCATGGGCCAGTGATTCTATTGCTGCCTTCTCACATACTGCAAACAGCTCAGGTGTTAGTTTATTCAGACATGGTAGCACACATTTGTCATGTGAGCACTCAGGGTGTAGAGGCAGGAGAATTAGGAGCTCAAGGTCAACCATGACGACAAGGGGAGCTCAGGGCCAGCCTGGATTACGTGAGACCTTGTCTTAAATTATCAAAAAAATAAGAAGTCAAGAAATAATCTATAATTCCAGCTGGCTTCATGTGAATGTAAGTGAGTAATCCATGGTCTCTGAACAATGACTAGATCTCTATACTATGTTCTTCCAAGTTTCCAATGAAATATTGGTGTTTAGAAATTCCATAAACAAACCTTATCATAGACAGTGATGTCAAAGGGCGGATATAAGTTTTGAAAACAATCTATGAGGAAGAAAGACCAATATTATCCATAAAATTCAGTCTCAAAAACACTCCTAAGAAACACAAGGCTGTTTTTTACAAGCTAGTAACAAAGTCCAGAAGTTTTGGCTTCAATGCCAGAGTCTGGTAAGAGTCACAGTCCTCAACTGTTGAGCCCTTCCTTGTCTGCCTGCCTAACACCCAACGCAGGACATCCCTGAAAAAGTGGATGAATGAGAATAAAACAAGAAGAAGAAGAATCCCTTACCCATTGCTTCCCACTGAATGCGCTTTGGACATATCAGCAAACTCTTCTTTTCTCTTGCTGCCACTGGTATACTGCTCGCTGTACAGCTTGAGGGACATCTGCTCAACAGCATCTCTTTGTGCTTCGAGGTAGCATAGCTGGACCTCAGCCTGGAGAGAGAAGAAAACAAGAGCCACTCTCTTAACCTGGAAGGAAGGCATTTCAAGTGAGGTGCAACAACCCAAAGGAATGAAATTGTTCACATCACCGTACTACCTGCGTAGGCTTGGATTTAATGGGATCAGCTGGGCATGTTACAGAATTACATTATAGATCTGAATCTTGTAAGTTCTTTCTTAAAATATGACCTGAATAAATGAACTCTCAGAAGACTCAGTAAATATTACAAAGTACTCTTGAGATCATAACATGGAGTGATGAGACTTTACATAAAAATTCTGTGAAATTCCTTAATAATACTCTTCCTCATGTTGTCACACTTGTAGCATTTTAAAAGAAGTCTCCTTTCAAGTTATACACTGGGATATTTCATATATATACATATATAAATACACACACATACATATATATATATATAATTTCTCTTTTCAATGCTTTTTTATTTTCTTCACTGGGGAGAAGTAAAATGCCTTCTATTAATTCTAGTACATGTTTAATAATGGATATACACTTCATTTATTGCATTTTTTACTCTTTGTACTATTATCTAAATAATTTTAAATCATGTATATAGTACAGTGGTTCTCAGCCTTCCTAATGCTGCTACCTCATACAGTTCTTCATGTTATCATGACCCCCACCATAAAATTATTTTCATGCTACTTCATAATTGTAATTTTGCTGCAGTTGTAAATTGTAATTTAAAGATCTGTTTTCTTATGATCATAGGTGACCCCTGTGGAAAGATCATTCAACCCTCTAGGGGGTCACAACACACAGGTCGAGAACCACCAGTATAGTGACTCTTTTACACATAGGCTTGAATTGTTGACTCATAAACACTTGAGATTTGCTGCAAAGGAAAAGTAGTAATTTCACCATGCTGGGTTTTTCTTTCTTTTTTTAATTTAATTTTATTTTTGTCAATCAGGGTCCACAGAATACTGAACTACCTTTGCATGGAAATGCATTAGATGTTTTATTTATTGCCTCTTCACAATCCCTGTGGCTTTGGGTTCTCTGGAGCACCAGCTGAGACTGAGAATGAAGTCCCCTCAAGGTTGTGCTTCTCTGTGATGGAGGCGAGGAAGCAATGTTGCATTTCCTTGTATGGTGGACCAAGGGACCCTTACTTCCCTTTTAGTATGCTTCACAAAATCAAACAGCTCCATTAACATTTCTGACCAATCTTAGAACTGCTATTTCGTGATCTCATTGTGTCTTTCCTTAGGAACAATAGTTATGATCAGCTGTTAGTTAGGTAGTCACCAGAACTCTTTAAAATGCAAGCCATGACCTTCTACTCAGCTTTCAGAGCCAATGAAGGCCTCTCTTCTGGTCCCTCTTTGTTCAACTCAGCTATGGAGAAAAGAGGAGTGTCACAAAGTGGCAATCTCTCAAAGGGCCTGAACTATTAGAAATCCTATATTTTGCTTTTCATACACAGTTATGAATGCTCTAAATTTCCACAGAGAAGTTAGAGACAATATTTAGATTACTAGAGTTATGTATTATAGTTTCAGCAAGTTCAAAACCAGTATTTGTTCACCCATCTAGACTTTTCTTGCTTAAACCAACTGACTTGAATAAGAAGAGACTCAATTAGATTAAGAATTATATATACATATACATCCTGTATGTATATGTATATACATACATATTCTTAAATATAACCTGCTCAGTCTGTTACAGTGTTACTTGCATGTATGTTTTCAGGGATGACCAATGGTATTGGATGACCAGTTGGTATGCCCTTCCCTGGGGAAGACTATCTCTCCTGCTCTCAGCATACTTTAGTTGCCTATAGTTCTTTGTGTAGGGTTGAGGTCTCCTGGGTTTTCCCCACCCTCTTTGGCATGCCTATTGTTGTCCTTATTCAGCTCATAGTTAAGCAGTCCTGCTGCTGAGACTTTATGGGTGTAATTTATGGGAGTATGGAGAAGGGAAGGGAATGGAGAAATGTTGTAATTATTATATAACCTCAAAATTAAAGGAAAAAATGTATTAGGGACTGTCGCCCAGTGTTAGAGCCCTTACACAGCATGGATAAAACCTTGGATTTGATTCCAAGCACCACAAATTTAAAAAAAAGTAAAAGAAACTACATGTAGTATGTGTAATTGCAAGAAGAGGCACGGCTGGTGGGAAGTCACACAAGGAATGTCAAATGTAGTATCACTCTGCAATTTTATTAAAGATGTGGAAGAAGAAGTGTGCAGAATGTCAGTGGTGTATCGGAAGACTGCTAAGAGTCGTACAACGTAGTGAGAACACTCACAGGTCTAAGAGTAGATTTTAAAGAATAAAACTAATCAATAATTAGAAAAAATTAAGAGTATTTGCTTCACAACTGTCAGGGTGAGAGTTTGGATCCAAGGCCCATAGAACAAGCCCAGAATCCCACAAGCCTGTAACTCCAGTTTGAGAAATCTAATACCCTCTTCTGGCCTTTGTACACACAGGATTATGCACCCCCCCACACACACACACCTTCTTTATTCCTGGCATATAAATGGACTCTGAGAGCCCATTCTACATGGAGGGATGCTCTCTCAGCCTGGACACATTGGGGAGGACCTAGGCCCTGCCTGGGATTATGTGACAGACTCTGAAAATCCCACATGGAAGGCCTTACCCTCCCTGGGGAGCAGAAGGGAGATGGATTGGGATGGGGGTTGGGAGGAATTACGGGCCAGGAGAGGAGGGGAGGGAAAGGGTACTGAGAGTAATATGTGTAAAAAGTTAATATATATATATATATATATATATATATATATGTATGTGTATATATATATGTCCATGTCAAATTCTTATGTGACAAATAAGATAACAGACATATTAAACAATCATAGAATTTAAGAACAGTTCTCCCAAATGCTACAACCTCTCCTCCACCAGAAATCTAGCGGCACAATGAGAAACTTGCTCTGGGTTAGGTACTCTGTGGAAAACTCCATTATAATAGCGCATCTGGGTCAATGGGGTCATTCTTGTAGAGGCTTCTGTCCATTTTAACTATAACTAAGTAATGTGCTAAACCATGGTTCACTTTGGGCAGTGATCTCACAAATGTGTGCCTCTGTTCACAAAAGACTCCTAAAGAAGGCAGACTAGGGACTTGTAACCACTCAGAAAAATAGTCAGCATTCATCGCCATGTGGGGATGTGTACAAATGAAACATCTCTAACAGGGGTGTGTTTAAAAAAGAGCCCAGAGAACAACTCAAAATATAACTAGCCACATAAGTTCCATCTTGCATAGAAAGTTCTCGTCATTAATGAGCAGGTAAATAGACAGCTCAGGGCCCTCCTGTCAATCTCCATTTCTACTTCTGTTTGTAGTAATTCATTCCTAAATTTCCTTATGAAAGAACTAAACAATTGCCCTTGCTGAGATTGAGGGGCTTTGTCATTAAAAATCTCTTTGTAGACTCTCTTAAATTTTATCTGGTGCTATATTTTAGTCCAAACACAAACTAGAAGGAGAGAGATTGGAAGAAAATATCATTCTTAAAAACAGTGCAGTGCCACAATTTCTCTGAATGAAAGAGTTTCAGTAGTCATTTATGATAACTGTGGATACTTCAAATGCCACTATATCTTACATAGGGAAACTTAGCCTGATGAATATTAAAAGGCAATATTAAAGATAAGTAAAAAAGCAGAATTTGAAATTTTCTATTAAGTAGAAGAATGAGACTTTAGTGGTGGGTGTGTCTGTTCATTTCTAGGTTGCAGTGATACCGAGCAGACGGTTAAAAGTGAACTGAGCAGGGCAAGGTCTGCAATCCTGTAGGAATACTGGAGTTGAAACACTCATTGAGATGCATCAGTTGACATTAGAATGAAAGAGAATGCCCGGGGATAGCCACCATGATGAGGAGAGGAAGAGGAACCCTGCTCCCTCCAGTCCACGCGTTAGCACCGGTTAGCCGGCCTGGTGCAATAGATCTCCAGTTGTCCCACCTCTTTTCTTCTCCATCATTCCAAATGCAGTTTCCGTGTTGTTCACCGGCTGATCTTGCATCACGGCTAAGCTCACCTGTGTGTCAGAGCCCGGGTGGGGCTGTTTTCTTTGTACCCTTTATCATCGCCTTAAGTGTCATCTACATAGTGATGCCTTCAACCACTCTCCTCTGAGCTTTACACCTTACACCAACCACCTGACTTAGATTAGGTCCTGATGTTTAAGAAGTGACTGCATTCTCACACTCCCCAGATCCTCCAATTCTTCCCATACTTGTCCCTCCTTGTTAAACAAATGGCCAGAAGCTGAAGAGCATCCTGACTTCTTTTCTTCCTTTCCCATAAGCCCCTCCTACACAGTGTGCCTCTAGTTCCTCCCAGCTGGTGTTGCTATGGCCTCATTCAAGCTTCCATTGCTTCTCACTTGCATTACAGTTGGTGTCTAGCGTGTATCTCCTTTCAGGACTTTGGGCCTGAGTCACTCAGTCACTCTTATTGCTCTCGTTATTTTCACTTACATTGGTAAGAGTAGTCATTATAAACATGAGCTGGCTTATCTACACTCAGACCCGAAAAACAAGCTTCTCCCATGGGCTAAGCAATCTCTCGCCTAGGCTAGACCTCTGATAGTCTCCCTCTTAATTGCCATGCTTTGCCTTCTTTATCTTTGCCTTCTCTAATTCTTTAGGCATTCTAAATTTTTAAGCAATTATTTCTTGTCCATGGACTTTTCCCCTATATTATTCCCTTTTTCTGGAACATTGTTTTGATAATGTGCTTCTCAAAGAGTCCTTTCTCAGTGATGTTGCTGAAACAGATCCCCTATGTTTTGTTTATTCCAGGACCAGGTTATTGTCCTACGCAGCACATGCAAATATAAAAGTCTTATGTTTGGTGTTTAACATGGTTTCTGTTTGGTTTTGGATTCCAAATATTAGGAGTAGCCATGCCTGTGACCTTAGACATTTTGCATTCAGAGTACCTTGCCAGTCTGGACCAAGGCAAACATTAAACAAGAAATTGC